TAGGTCCACTATCACCTTTAATTCCAGGTAAACCAGGATAACCTATTTTTGAAACGCATTTTTTAGTAAAAAACAATTTCCGTTGCCACTTTAGGCCAAAACAACATTATTGCAATACCATATTGCTAAAAATAAAAATTGATAAAAACTAAGTTGGTATGTTATCTTGAAACACTTTTAATCAATGATTGATATTAAAAGTGTGTTGTAAAATAATCTAAATAATAATGTTATTACCAATTTCTCCAACTGGCCCACGTTCTCCAGAATCTCCTTTTGGGCCTTGTGGCCCAGCTTTTCCATCTCGGCCCTGTTTAGATAGTTCAAGATTAGTTTAAACGCTTCACATGTATTAGGACAACATTGGTCATTAAATTTTAGTGTTTACCGGAATTCCATCAGCTCCAACTGGCCCTACAGGACCAGTTTTCCCTCTAGGTCCTACTGGACCAACTTCCCCTGCAAAAGATCAAGTGTTAGTACCACTCAAAAACTTTATTTAAATATTAAAAAAATAAATCATAGCATCTTTGTTAATTAATACTCTACCTTGCGGGCCTGGTCTTCCAGGCTCTCCTACACGGCCCTTTTCACCATGTTTTCCACTTTTTCCAATTAGGCCAACTGCTCCAGTGCTTCCTTTTTCTCCTAATTTGTAATTGTGTAATAAAAAACATTAGTAAGTTTTGTTGCTAATTAGATGGATTTCATTTAACTAAAATGTGAGTTTTCCTAAACAATGCCTAAAACATGTTTCCCTATCTGACCATTCAGATTATTTAAATTACTAAAAAGATGGTGAAATTTCTTACCTTGAGGTCCATCGCGACCTTGGGGCCCTCTAGGTCCAACTTTTCCGTTTGGGCCACGTCCTCCGGGAAGGCCTCTGCGAAAAATACAAAGATTAATCAAAAACAAAAGTTATAATATAGACAATTTTACATTTACCTAGGCCCAATATCGCCAACCGGCCCAGGAACGCCCTAAACAAATAAAAATACCAGTTATAAAAATATATAAAAATAATAAACTGCTTG